CGATCCATACCAGTGTGTGCAACACCTGGTGCATCATGAACTAGCTGTAGAGATACGTTCACTAGTGACTGTGGAATTACTAACTGGCACGCTCTTCTACTTGTAGTACCTAACTCAGCTGTTCGATACAGTAATTCTTTGCTCATTACAAAGTCACTAATGGGTGCTGGTGGCTTCACAGTCAGAATAAGATCTTCCTGGAGAAGCGAGCAGCAACCACTATTGATGAGCCAACCCCTAAGCACTCAAAGAAAGTCATGAATCTGGAGAAGGTGATATTGCTAGGCAAGTGAAGGGCAGGTTATTTGAGCAATTCTGCCACTGGAAATTTATATAATGTAAATGAAAGCACAGTGCACTCTATCAAGAAAAAATGAGGTGAAGATAAGGGTGGCACTAGCATCTACTGCTCCTCCCTCAGCCAAGCAAGTGTCACAAGTAAGAAACAGTGCAATGTCTAAGATGGAATCAGCATTATTTGTGTGGATTTCAGAGTTAGAATTCATACAATAGACTCATCATGCCATGCAGTTACACTCCATATAATCGCCTCCATTCAACTATTACCAGTAACTGCATGGCTAACTATCATCACCATCATCATTGTCATTGTCATCATCATCACAAGTCGTCCGAGTTCGTCTGCCTAACCTTACTAGTGGTGAGTGTTTTGTATGTTCATTATTTGTTATTAAACCATTACATGTATATACAATATTTTATGATGTTTTCATGTGTTTTATGATCGTTTGTTCAAATTCAAATTCAAAATTCCAAGTTTATTCTCTATAAGGATTACAATGCTGAGTTTACAGAAATTTGGTTATTGTTTGGTTTACATGTAGTAAAATTGTGATTACAGAGTGTACCACTAGAACGCTTAGCATGGCTAGGCATTTCGGGCATACTTAGTTTTATTCTTAATTGTAAAATATTACAAATTATGAGGTAAGTTGGTATTATGGCTAAGTGACTAAATACTAGTTTGTGAGTTTAGCAATGTGAATGCTTTTGTTTTGGCACAGTACATAGTTTCAGTATTGGAGTATCACAGGATTCATTATTTTAAGACTGAGATTAATATTTCTGTTTATGGTCAAATGACTGAGTGAGTGTAAGTGTGAACCACCAGGTGGTATTCGTGTAGTTAGTCGACGGGGTGTATCAGGGAGATAAGATGTTTTCTAATGGTAGTTTTGAAGGTGATGAATGTGTCTGCAGTTCTAGAGTTCTCAGGTAGGGTATTCCAGATTTTAGGGCCTTTGACATACATTGAATTTTTGTAAAGGTTTAGTCGGACACGGGGAATGTCGTAGAGATGTTTGTGTCTGGTGTTATGCCTGTGGGTTCTGTCACAACTATCAAGAAAGCGTTTTAGATCAAGGTTGATATTAGAGTTTAAGGCCCTGTAGATATAGATTGCACAGTAGTAAGTGTGGATGTACTGAACTGGGAGTAAGTTTAGATCTATGAAGAGAGGGGGGGTGTGTTGCCAGGGATGGGATTTAGTGATTATTCTTACTGCAGCTTTTTGTTGGGTTATTATTGGCTTTAGGTGTGTTGCTGCAGTTGATCCCCAAGCACAAATAGCATAGGTGAGGTATGGATAAATAAGTGAGTGGTATAGTGTGAGAAGGGCATTTTGCGGCACGTAGTATCGTATCTTGGAGAGGATCCCAACCGTTTTGGATACTTTTTTGACTATATGCTGGATATGGGTGCTGAAATTCAGGTTGTTGTCAAGGTATAAGCCTAGGAATTTTCCCCCATTATTTCTGGTAATTAGAGTGTTGTCAATCTTAATGTTAATTTGTGCATCTCCTGCTCTGCTACCAAACATAATATAGTAGGTTTTGTCAGTGTTAAGCATAAGTTTATTGGCTGTCATCCAAGTCGATATTTTAATCAGCTCCTCATTCACAATGGTGTTGAGGGTGGCAAGATTAGGGTGAGAGATGACATAAGTCGTGTCATCACCAAAGAGAATGGGTTTCAGGTGTTGGGATACGTTTGGAAGGTCATTGATGTATATGAGGAAGAGCAGGGGACCAAGGACACTTCCCTGCGGAACTCCAGTATCAAGTGGCCGTGTTGCTGATGCTGTGTCTTTAATGGTGACGTACTGATACCTATTAGTAATGTAAGATTTGAAATAAGCAAGCACATGGCCTCTTATACCGTAGTGATCAAGTTTGTGGAGTAGGATGTCGTGGTCTACTGTGTCAAAAGCTTTTCTTAGGTCAATAAAAATTCCTAGTGGATATTCCTTATTTTCCAATGCTGTGTAAAAGCAGATCTAGCATTTTTATGATTGCATCATTAGTGCTTTTATTTTTCCTGAATCCAAACTGGCAGGGGTTGAGTATGTTTTGAGCCGTTATAAATGAATACAGTTTCCTGTGCACGAGTTTCTCAAAGATTTTGGATAGCAATGGTAAGTTAGATATTGGCCTATAGTTGTTTAAGTCTGTAGGGTCACCACCTTTATGTACTGGTGTAAACCCTTGCCATCTTGAGTAGTTTCGGGAAGGTGCTAGTTCTCTATTGACTTGTTAAAAAGTAATGAAATAGCATGCGAAAGGACATGGGCCGCTCGCTTGTACAGTAATGGTGGACATGAGACAGATTCCCCGAGTTATTTTTAAGTGACTTTATGATCTCAATGACTTCCGTGGGCTCAGTTGGTGCAAGATAGAAGGAATTAGGGAAATTTCCATCTAGGTAGTCCCCGGCATGGGCATTGGTATGTGGGATTTTACTGGCGAGATTAGATCCTATGGTTGAGAAGAAGTCGTTTATCTTGTTAGCTGTGTCAGTGGGATGTAGTGGTGTTTCATTAGGTTTAGTTAGGACAATATTCTTGGTTTTTCTCAGTTTGTGGGTTCCTAGAATCTGAGAGAGTGTTTTCCAGGTCTTTTTTATATCTCCTCTAGTGTCTGTGAATCTACTGGAGTAGTATAGTTGTTTGGCTTTTTTTATTACTTTGGTGAGAGCTGATGAATAGTGTTTAAGAGTATCTTTGTGTATTAAGCCCTGTCTATATTGCTTTTCATATTGGTGTTTCTTGTCAATGGATTTCAGAATGGTGCTGGTTAGCCATGGGCAACCAAGCCGTTTGTTTGTGATTTGTTTTGTTTTTATAGGACAATGTTTGTTGTATAGTCTAAGTAATTTGTTAAGAAAAAATGTCTGTCCAGTCATCAATACCATTGGCCTTGGAGAATTCTGTAGGCCAATCAACAGTCTCTAGGTCAGCTGTGAACTTCCTTACTGAGGCCTCGTCATGGAGTCTAAATGAGACTTTGTTGTATTCAAGTGGTGGTTTACTAATGTTTGTCAGGAGGAAGGTAGGGTAGTGGTCTGTAGTGCTATCTGTGATTATCCCTGATTTAAGGGGGGCTAGTATATTGGTCCATATGTGGTCTATTATGGTTGCACTTGTCTCAGTGAGCTGGTTGGTTTAGTTATTGTTGGTATGAGAAGTGTGTTGTTCATATTGTTGATGAAATCAGTTACAGGCTGATCATCTAGTAAGCCAAGGTTGATGTTGAAGTCTCCAGCTAAGAGAAGGTGGTGCTTATTCATTTGTCTGTTTGTTATTAGTGACTTTAATTTCTCACTGAAATTTGGGATGTTTGTGTGAGGTATCCGGTAAATGGCACCGATTGTTATAGGCGTCTTAAGGTTTTTTACAGTAAAATTAGCAAAAATGTATTCCCCATATTCATCACTAAAGCAAGTGGTGCTAAGACAAGATAATTGGTTAGAGTAATAGATTGCAATACCACCCCCAACTTGGTTTGTTCTGCAGTTGTGAATTGCTGTGTATCCTGGTAGAGGGTAGATAACTATTGTGTCCTGCTTAAGCCAGGTCTCAGTAAGAATAATGCAGAAGGGTGTCTTTAGTGATTCAAAAGCTTAGTGGTTCAAAAGCTTAAGGAAGCAGTACTGTTATGCTAAGTAAATGCTATTCTTATATTTCCCTACAATATATTTGCGCATCAAAACATTCGCGAATGCTACATTACAGTATTATTATATTTCCCTACATCATATTTGCACATCAAACATTTGTGAATTTTCAAGATTTGCGAGGTTCTTGATCCCCTAACCCTCATGAATGTGGAGGGCCTCCTGTATTGTAGCATCCTTATGCATATTACCAGAAATTAAATGAGAATGACTTTTGTCAAGGGCACAACCAACCTCAATGCAAACATAAACCAAGTGTTCCACTAAGCTACAGAAAACAAGATGTTCAGCGAGGTCAAATTTCAGTTACTCCCAAATGGAAAAGTAAAGAAATCAAAATTAAAACACACAAACCACTCAATAGATCTGGAGAGAAATATAATGAACCAATATACAGTGGACCCCCGCATAACGATCACCTCCAAATGCGACCAATTATGTAAGTGTATTTATGTAAGTGCATTTGTACGTGTATGTTTGGGGGTCTGAAATGGACTAATCTACTTCACATTATTCCTTATGGGAAAAAATTCGGTCAGTACTGGCACCTGAACATACTTCTGGAGTGAAAAAATATCGTTAACCGGGGGTCCACTGTATATATATATATATTTACACACTGGCCTGAAAAAGAAATGCTTTCATCATCATTCACTCTATCACTGTCTTGCCAGAGGCATGCAGATACTACGGTTCAGATGTTCCTCCAAACTGCAAATATCCCCACTCTCCTTCAAAGTGCAGGCACTGTACCTCCCACCTCCAGAAATGAGAGAAAAAAAGAGAAGAAAATGAGAGGAAAGAGATAAAAGAGAAAAATGAGAAAGAGAAAGAAACAAAAAAGAAACAAGAAAACAAAAAGTGAAAAGAGAGATAAAAAAGAGAAAGTGAAGAGAGAAAAAGAGTGATTACACACACATATACTTTAAGAGAAAATTTCTACTCATATTAGGGATCATATACACCATGTAAAAGTACATCACAGTACAGTATATATTTTGTCTATGTCAAGCCAGTTCATTACTCACCCATAGCTATATGCAGCCTTAGTAAGTGCCTTCATGTTGTCATGTGAATCGTAACTTGACTCTTGAACTACCTTGCGGTAAACAGAAGAAGGGGGAGAGGTGCCACGAGCACACATTGGCATAGCCATTCCCCTACCACCCCCACAACCACTGCTGCGCTCCTCGTCATCATCACTGTCCATCACACTCTGAAAAATAACAAGTCAATTTCTAGTTTTGTAAATAGAAAGAAAATGCCTAGAATGCAATATTACTGCACATAAGACCAATATACTGTAGTAAACTTATATTTACATGCATATACAATAAAAATTCATGCCACAAATATCTACATGATGTATACAGGTACTGTATTCCACAGTTATTAAGATTGGTTAAATTGTGTATAATAGCTTAGTAGGTGCCACCACTGAAACCTAGATTTTATCTGCATCCATAGAAGTTTACACTGCCTCTAGACAAAATCTGAATGAATTTCAAGAGAAACTAAAGCCTTATACGTATTACTGATACAGAGAAACACTGTGTACTGCATATACTCTATCAATAATGAGCACATCCATAGATGGAAAAGCAATATCACACCCCCAGATATACAGTACTTAGCAAATGTCAGACAAAACACATAACATTAATATTAAATTATAGGCTCATACAATGGGAAAAACATGATATGTGACTATGTCGTGTACTGACACATAAACTAAAATAACAAGGACAAGCTTCACTTGCCAGCCACAAAGCATCAATAAACTGATGAGACACACACATGAAGGAAGGAAAGAAGACCAGGTAAAAACATACTTTATTATTCATGCAGACTATGTAGGAACTTTCATAGTGGATAAAACTTAACTAGTATTTTTTTTGTAAGATAAAACCTTAACTAATCACTTGGTCAGTCATCTGTGTTATAAAATGTGAGAGTACACACACAGTGTTGTGCCAAAGAGGAGGAGTAAACAAGTAGTCACCTCAACTAGCCTGCACTGATAAGCCATTATCTAGATACACCAATCACATGCTTCTTGCTACCCTACAAATTACCATGTTCAACAACTCATAATTTTAATCACAAAAGACAGAAGCATCATCAAAACAGGCAAATGTCTCACAAACAGTCAAGAATAGAACTGACATGAAAGTGTCATAAAAGAATTATATGATTTTTAAACAAACAAAAACATTATAATTTATTAAAAAATACAAAATTCCCCTGAGCAGTAACTACAATAATCTGCATCAGAATGAGCTTTTGCTTATCATAATTCCAGTTATTGACAGAGTACGTATACATTATAGAACAGTTTTTATTAAACAATATACTGTGGTTACTCTCACCAGGCACATGCACTCCAAGGCAACGCATACACACGCAAACGTGCGTGCACACACACACACACACACTCACACATGCACACAATGGCAGCCAGGCACATGACTTCTTGCTCACCCTACTGAAGATAGCAATATATGTAAATCTTCTATATCTGGTCTTTCATAACTTTACATACCTCCTCTTTCCTTTATTAGCCAATAAACTCGGAGAACCATACTGTAGCACCTTTCTTGGCCTTTTTATATCTTGTCCACACATTTTTAAAATGTCTGCACCACACAGTCACTACATATTCTAATTTTTATACAGTGGTACCCCAAGTTTCGTACATAATTCGTTCCAGAAGGCTGTTCGAGTGCAGTTACCGAATGAATCTGTTCCCATAAGGAATAATGTAAATTAGATTAGTCCATTTCAGATCCCCAAAAATACACTTACAAAAGCACTTACAATAATACACTTGCATAACTGTTCGAGTTGGGAGCTGTACAAAACTCCAGGTACCACTGTACACGTAATGAAACACTTTTTTCTTTTCAACTTCTCCCTCAATAACTGTATATGAAAGCTATTTTACAGCTTGAATGTGTCAGTAAAGCATGAGATTTTCACGATTTTGTTTATATGATCTTCCTATACGATGATTTTCTTTAAACAGTTTTGGTAGGAAAAGTATACTGGATTCTTTTAGTGATGCATTTCCAGTTACTGTATATAATTTAAGGCTCTGGAAAAACGGACTGCACTTGCTGAATGCTTGTTTAAGTTTTCACTGGCATAAGCATAACTGAATGCCTTCCTAATGCAACAGATATAGCCTCAGTTTCCTGTTCTTATCTGACAAGAGTGGAACCTGGTGAGGGCTTCTGCTCCTGTAACCCATCCACTTCAAGGTCTGATGGTGGTCAGAGAGGCTCTTCTGCATGCCACTGTTGTAATGTATGTATTATTTGAGGTACTCTGTCCACCTTTCCTGTTGGACTTGTTCTGGTCTGGCCACATTCTCCTCTGTTATCTTTCATTTATCAAAGGCATTTTCCAATACAGGATCTGGCTGCTCAACTAGGTATGGTTTGCTGCTGCGGGGCCGGTGGGGTGGTTCTTTTTTTTCTTTTTTTTTTTTTTTTTTTTTTCTTTTCACTCCATTCTCTGTAAACTCTAGAGGCCTGTGCATGAAAATTCCAGATCAACAGTTTCTGAGATACTCAAACCATCCTGTCTGTCTGGTACCAACAATCATTCCACAGTCAAGTCACTGTAGATCTCATATCTCCAATCTCCCCCCCTCCCCATTCTGATGTTTGGTCTAATCAAAAACTGAACCTCTTGAACATGTCTGCATGCTTTCAGGTACTGAGGTGCTGTCACATGACTGGCTTTACAGATATTTGCATTAACGAGCAGGTGTACAAGTGTACTATGCCTAAGAAAGTAGCCACTGAGTTTACACGTATTTGTATGTATACAGCAGTATAAAGTAAATGGAGAGATATAGTATATACATGTTCATATTGCAAAAACTATTCAATGCACTCTCATCACAAACTACATTATTATTAATTATTTTTCTACGGTACAGTATTATGTTTCAAATGTACACCTTAGCTAGGATCTACATGGAGTAAATGCACCACCACTGACACACGGTTGACTGTCAACATGGCGGACACTCTCCCTGTGATGTCACGGGCAAATGCAATAAATGGATGAAATACTTAGACATTGTATCATTGTATAGTTGCTATTTTCAAAAGATTTCATATTTATTGGGTACTGACTCTTAGTGTGGTGTATAGTATGTATACAGTACTTCATAAATAGGCAATACAATATATAAAACTGTAATAAAAATTTACAAATACATTTCATAAAAAGACGATAAAATTATGAGCTCTTTTACAGGCAAACTGTTTACATATTAATACACACAAATAACTGAATGAGTAGGAATGGGGTTACCGAAGAGGAAATTGTGAGTCTCCTTTTAGATGACATGGTCTGATCTCAGAATAATGTCCAGGATCGTGATATGTACAGTAGCCAATTTGCTGCTGCAAATAAACATCATTTCACTTGCATACATGTATTACTGAGTGTACTGACTAGGGCGACAGTCATCACATGTTATATAACTGATGTAAAGTATTTCAGAGTAAGTAAATGTTTCTGCTCTATTTATTTAACAACCCATAAATGATGATTTAAAAAATGGTCTCTTGTTTACAAGCTTCGACAATTAGAATATAACATGGCAGGGATGATTAAGAAATACGGCTTGCATGAGAATGCATTCACTGTCCCACTCTGCATGCAGGAATTGGCAACTTGAAAAGGAGAATGATAAACAGATCAAAAAGTTTACTGACAAATGTGACCACAAGAGAACCTACATGAAAACGTTACCAACCTATTTACCAGCTTTAAACAACCGAGAGGAAATGTGCAGAAGAGTTTCATACCATCAAAATAATCACAAGCAATAAAGTACACCACAGGTAAGTGAATGTTAAAAAATTATGTGGGGAAAAGTTGCATTATAATTAACAAAAGAATTAAGACAACTCCATTCTAGTGATAACATGGTTTGGTGGTTCATGCAGAAAAGCTGTGTTTCACAAACATCTGAAAAAGTGACCAATACAAAATTTATACACAAGCTACGAAGCAAGAGTGGGATCATTACATGATATACAGTATGTATATAATTACTTTTTCTCCAATATATTTAAGAGAGGCAAATATACAAATGATGCAGGCATTCCTCTCAGCACCATTTTCTGGCACGAGACTTTTTAAGGAGCTCCATACCTAAACGGAATCAACTTCTTGAATGGAGTTGATTGCAGAGTTGCCGACTACCTATAAAACTGTCAGGAGGAGACAATGTATCACAAAAAAAAATTTAGCAATAACATATATCACAGTTTTACACAGATACAACATCCTCAGCTCATGCACAAACAAAACATACTACTGTATACATATATGTACATGTAAAAAGATACCGCAAACACTGCTCACTGAAGACAAAAAGAATAAAGAAGGGCTTTCAGTGCCCATACAAAAATAACAAGATGTAGGGTCTGTATGAGTTTTGACACGGAAATATTTTATACAATACGTATACTGTATGTACAGTACATTAAAAGAAATACGTAATATATCATTAATTAAATATAGGGAGGTACGTACCACCTCTGGAACTTAACTGGGTACCCTAATTTGTAAAAAAATTTCAGTAATACTGTACATTTCTTTTTCTGAATGAACAACACATTTTACATAAATACTTTTTAACACACCGGCCATCTCCCACCAAGGTAGGGTGGCCTGAAAAAGAAGAAACCCTTTCACCATCACTCTGTCACTGTCTTGCCAGAGGCGAGCCAACATTTCAGTTCAGATGCCCCACTAAACTGCAATATCCTTACCCCTCCTTCAGAGGAAATCAAAGTTTTAAAAAATCTGCCCCTGCATATAAATATGTTGCACTTATCTAAAATACAGTAAGTAAACTATTTATATTATGGTAGTTTCAACTTTTCATTTCATGATCTGATAATTAAAAGCAAAACTAATGACACAGGAATGCAATGTAATAGATCCACTCTACACTCTCCTAAATATATACTGAACATACTGTACATGAAAAAGTGAACATTAACAATTGCATTACCAGCACTGTTGTACCTTGACCACAGCTTCCTGACTTATGAATTTCCAAACCTACAGTACGACCCCATTAACACCCATGTTTTAATCTGTGCTCTAAATTTTCAAACTTATGATGCACCATATTTCTGTAGTAATTGTGATGCCAACCTTCACCCAATATGCCAAGCTGGTAGGTAAGCAGTTAAGAAACTGAAGGTAAAAGTTCTGTAATACAGTGGACCCCCGCATAACGATCACCTCCGAATGCGACCAATTATGTAAGTGTATTTATGTAAGTGCATTTGTACGTGTATGTTTGGGGGTCTGAAATGGACTAATCTACTTCACAATATTCCTTATAGGAACCAATTCGGTCAGTACTGGCACCTGAACATACTTCTGGAATGAAAAAATATCGTTAACCGGGGGTCCACTGTACAGGTAATGTTCTTAATATTGATAAAATATTAATGTTTTTAAACTTTGCAAATATTCTGTCTGACTGTATTCATGATATGACTACATAAATTTATGAAATAGAGGAAAAAATATCTTAAAAATGCTGACCTAAAACATTTTTTTCAACAAGGTTTGTCTTTTGAGTAGTCTTTTACTTTATTATCATTTAGGGTAATACGTATGTTTCTGAAATGTTGTTAAAGTCTTGGTCTATTGATATGGTTAACCCCTTCCCTGTCATACTATATGTACCTGTACTTAAGTACCATAACTATTTCAAACAAAATATGATCGTTCCTGGTAAATCCTTACACAACAATGATTCCAGTTTTTAATGTTTAGAAGCAGCAACAAATACAACACTGCATGTATAACAACCAGATGTGCACTCACATAGGGCAAAGACAGAACAGCTATTAATCTGTTCTCTTATTTTTAATAATAATGTAAGAACAGCGGAGCACTGCTGCAGGCTTGCTGAGTAATTGAAAGTAAATGGTATGGTGATGCCAAAAAAAAAAAAAAAGAAAAAAAAAAGTGTAGAAAGTCACGCATGTACAGTTTAGGACATTCATTAAAGGAAACATGATCTCCACTACGAGTGGTTTTCTTCTGTCTAATCAGAGACAACTAAGGAAATGATTGAATGTTTGTTATGCGGATTGTTCCTTGCCTATTCATGTTGTGATTTGTGTAACTCAACATTAGTGGGCTGCATGGTGAGTCTTAGCTCATGGCCCCAACTGTTCACTGATTGTACTGGGTCCTCTCTCTCCCTGGGCTCCATGAGCTTTATCACTCCTCTTCTTATAACTCATGTATGGTTTTGCACTCCCATACTCATTTTCTAGGCTATTCCACTGCCTGTACAACTCTATGACTGAAGAAAATGTCTTCCTAACATCCCTTTGACTTATTCTGAGTCTTCAACTTCCAATTGTGGACCCCTTGTGTCTGGTGTCCCTTCTCTAGATCATCCTGTCTGTCCACCCTTGTCTATTCTGCGCAGTTTTTATTTGTCGTTATCACTGTCTCCCCTAATCATCCATGTCCCAGTGTCGCAGTGCAATTTCCCTTACCTTTCTTCGTAGGTCAAGCCCCGTAGCTCTGGGAATATGGTTTGTTGCCCAAAACCTTTGCACTTTCTCTAATTTCTTGACGTGCTTGACAGCTTCTTGAATGATTCCTTACTGAGGTATCGAAAGCTATCTTAGGGTTTGGCAGCCCGCTATGCTGAGCTGATTGAGGTGGCGCCTCAGTTGTGTCGGTTTGCGCGTGGTGCACAGCACAAACGCACACACTCATTTCCCAGCTGTCTCTGTATTAGGACTAAAGAAGCCACTCCTGACAAAATGTTTCCTTTAACAGATATCTTGAACTGAACATAAATGACGTCTTCCACACGTACTGGACAATGATAGGCAGGTTCTTCTCACAATCACCCACTTTCTTATACCGTGTTTGCCTAGCCTCATCATACATAAGCTCAACATTCCATTTAATTTTCTCTTACCTATATCGTCTGTACATCACAATCTCGTGTTTAGGAATAACCAAACCTGAAGATTTATCAATTAACACCAGGAAAGTTACTGCACTGCTGACCTCACTAATAGTGTGATGAGCAGATTTAGGCCAGTGCTCATTTTTCACAACTAACCTGCAAATCACAAATAGAAATTATATTAGACAACCTATGAGTCCATCCACGATCATTATTAAGTTCCAAGTGATATCAGGTTCGCTCGTAACTTGAATTGCCTGATACCTCAATCGTACAAGACGATCCAAAATGGTCGAGTTCCATTTCAATTTATAAGCTACTTCGTTGAATGGTCGTGACATAATAGTGTTGCAATACTTATTCTTGAGGACTAACCTCATTGATACGGAGAGCAGCGAGGCTGTCGCAGGATACGTCTCGCGGCATCTCGGAGTACCTCATCTTCGGGTAGGTAAGAAGTGCTTGAGTTGTGTCTGCTGCCACACCTCACACGAATGTCCCACCATCCCTGCAGTAACACTTTACTTTAATTTTCACACATGGACTCCATATCCACTACATTCTCATTAATAGAAAAACGTAGCTGAAAACAACAACAGATTCTGTATATAAATAATGTACTGTAAATTACAATATATGAAATCAATGTTTCAAATGAAGTCACTAAAGGGGGAGGGGGGGGGGGGGGGGGGGGTATTTGGGGGGGGGGGGGTGGGGGGGTGACTTCAAAGGCAACTAAAGTTTTTACAAGTATATTAGCTTTTAAAGCTAATTTTGGAAATTACTCGCGAAGGTTCGTCTCAGAACAGGCTTCCCTAGTTAAAAAGCAATTATTACAGGTATAAAAATTATTAAACAAAAAGTGTTTTACTGGATATAAATAATCGTTTATAAGATCTACCTGTCGTATTACATGTTCATGGCACAAAGAAATGACTAGTAGTAATGCCAGAGTACAAAATATGTAAACACCCCCCCCCATTCTATTTCTCACTCACGCAAGATAATAACAACTCAGAGTCTGATGGTTGCTGTCCACCAGCCTACTACTTACAGTAATAACTGTGGTTGGTTTAGAAAGACACGTAAGCAAACACTATAACATATTTATTAGAAAACGTTTCGGTCCTGGGACCTTGGAAGTGATCAAGGTCCCAGGACCGAAACGTTTTCTAATAAATATGTTATAGTGTTTGCTTACGTGTCTTTCTAAACCAACTTGTCGGTATTTATTACCAAGGTTTATACCAATAACTGTGGTGTTATATCCAGAAGCCCACGTAAATACAATTTCAATGATATATGTAATATAACTGAACTGTACTGTATAGGCTTTATGAACATTAAAATGCGGTGATTCCGTATAATACACTACACCACCTATATAAGGCCAAAGTTGAGTATTAAATAATAGCATTGAATGCAGAAGACACTGAAAAAAAAAGCCCTTCACCATCCCACTCTTGAATGGGTAACAGCCTAACTCTAGTTACTTTGGTTTATACGGTCCTATCCCCTCCCCTACCTAGATTCAGTAGTTTTACTTTTAAACTCTAGTAACCACTTGCTTTACTGAAGATTGATGGACTGAACACATCGACTCCAGGTTGAGGGGGAATGATTACACTCATACTCCTCCTTTCCTTACGCCTTCCTCTTTGTATTGGACTGATGAAGCCACTGTGTGGCGAAGCGTTTCCTGAATAAAGATTCCCATATGCTGCATAAGTGTCTCAATCTTCAACTTGTCGGCTTTTCAAACCATTCATCACACTTGCTTTACTATCCATGCAGTTTGTCTATTTTCTTACATTTGCAAATGCTTTATTACTTTTGCTTCAACCATGAACATTTATTTCCAATATATTTCGCTGTCTATGAACTTTATATATATCACACAAAAACAAGGCAGAGCTCAGCTGGCGAAAACTTTCTTACTGCAGTTATTCAAGTCTTCAAGCTGGCACTGGACAAGCACCTAAAGTCGGTTCCTTGGCACTGGACAAGCACCTAAAGTCGGTTCCTGACCAGTGCAGCCAGCAGTAACAGCCTGGTTGATCAGGCTCTGATCCACCAGGAGGCCTGGTCACAGACCGGGCCGCGGGGGCGTTGACCCCCGGAACTCTCTCCAGGTAAATTAAACCATAGTTGAAACCTTCCCTATGAGGATAGACTAAGGGCCCTGAATCTGCACTCTCTAGAAAGACGTAGAATTAGGGGGGATATGATTGAGGTGTATAAATGGAAGACAAGAATAAATAAAGGGGATGTAAATAGTGTGCTGATAATATCTAGCCTAGACAGGACTCGCAGCAATGGTTTTAAGTTGGAAAAATTCAGATTCAGGAAGGATATAGGAAAGTACTGGTTTGGTAAGGAGTTGTGGCTGAGTAGAACCCCCCCAAAAAAAAAAAACTCCCGAGTACAGTTTTTAAGAGGCCAGATACGGTTGTGTAGCTTTTAAAAATAGGTTGGATAAATACACGAGTGGATGTGGGTGGGTGTGAATTGGACCTGATAGCTTGTGCTACCAGGTCGGTTGCCGTGTTCCTCCCTTAAGTCAATGTGACCCGACCTGACTAGGTTGGGTGCATTGGCTTAAGCCGGTAGGAGACTTGGACCTGCCTCGCATGGGCCAGTAGGCCTGCTGCAGTGTTCCTTCGTTCTTATGTTCTTATATATACTGCAAATACATACTATACTGTATACTGCATCAGGATGTGCAGTTTACTTAGAAGTTCGCAGACATCTACCCACATCTTGATCAACAATAACAAAAAATACAAATACATACAACAAAAAACAAAACAACAACTTACTCTTACTACTACTCAGCATGACAACGTTACTAGCAAACTACTGCTACTACTACTAGTGGCCAACAGCTAGACAAGTTCCTAGTGAGTAGCCAGTGATTCTCGATGCTTACGTTCTTGTGTAACCACTCTACTGTATGTTCCTCTCTCCTGCTTATTAATAATGTGCTACCGTCAGGTATGAGCTATTAGCTTTGAAAACGTCTGTTGTTCATGCGAAATGTTGTCTGAATAAGGTTTCTCATTATAGTACTTCTTTCGTGTCTTTATCACCTACATTAGAACTTTTCTTTTTCTTGTAGGACCTCCATCAATAAGCTACCCTATTTTCCTATATTCGGTTAGGTTTGGATGCTAGGCTTATGGGATGGGTTACGTAAACTATATAAACCTGTATATAACCACAACTAGGCACATTGTTTAAAAAAAGTTCGAATGTGTGATAAATAGTAGGCCGAGCGTAACCAGGAAACGTTCAGAACATCACAATTATTACTTGTGATGCGAGAATGTCACTGTCAGCCTGTGCCTGACGTAAGCCTTTTTAACATCACTGAAACTAAATGACATTTCACCATGATAACTCGTGCCCTTTGTCATGATGAATGAGACACTTGTGCGGGAGAGATACATGATTATATATACACTTGGAAAATCCTAGAGGGATCAGTACCATTTCCTATGAAAGCAAAAGACTCAGCAGACGATGCAACATCCCCCCAATGAAAATCAGGGGTGCCACTAGCACGATAAGAGACAACACAATAAGTGTCAGGGGCCCAAACTGTTCAACTGCCTTTCAGCATAAATAAGGGGGATTACAAATAGACCCCTGACTGTCTTCAAGAAGGCGCTCTACAGGCACCTAAAGTCAGTACCTGACCAGCCGGGCTGTGGTTCGTACGTCGGGTTGCATGCGTCCAACAGTAACAGCCTGGTTGATAAATTAGACACATGTGCAACTCTTGGGTATCTTTATTGAGGAAACGTTTCGCCACACAGTGGCTTCATCAGTCCATACAAAGGAGAATCTTGAAGAATAGGAGGAGAATGAGGTAATCAGTCCCTCAACCTTGAGTCGATGTGGTCAGTCCATCAATCTTGAATAGAATACGGCATACGTGCTGAGAAGGAGCTTATAAACCGTTGGCAGGAGAGTGCAGCGTCAGAGGCGTGTAACACTTGTTCCAATGTAGATGTAGGTCGTGCCCAAGAATTAGGCAAGCGAAGAATTCCCAAGTATTAAGATCCCAAGAAGATGGCAATGTCTGACAGGTTTGTAGATGAATGGTTCAGAGAACCGACATGTTGATAAATTAGACACATGTGCAACTCTTGGGTATCTTTATTGAGGAAACGTTTCGCCACAAGTGGGCTTCATCAGTCCATACAAAGGAATGAATCTTGAAGAATAGGAGGAGATTGGGTAATCAGTCCCTCAAACCTTGAGTCGATGTGGTCAGCCGTATTCTATTAAAGATTGATGGACTGACCAACATCGACTCAAGGTTGAGGGATGTTACCTCAATTCTCCTCCTATTCTTCAAAGATTCTCCTTTGTATAGGACTGATGAAGCCAACTGTGTGCGAAACGTTTTCCTCAATAAAGATACCCAAGGATGCCACATGTGTCTAATTTTCAACATGTCGGTTCTCTGAAACCATTCATTACAACCTGTCAGACAATTGCATCTTCTTGGGATCTTATACTTGGGAATTCTTCGCTTGCCTAATTCTTGGGGCACGACCGTCCTACTTCAACATTGAACATGTGTTACACTGCTCTGACATGCTATGCACCTCTCATGCAACGGTTTTATAAGCTCTTCTCAGCACGTATGCCGTATATCTATTCAAGATTGATGGACTGACCCAACATGATCAAGGTTGAGGGACTGATTACCTCATTTCCTCTATTCTTCAAGATTCTCCTTTGTATGGTATGGGACTGAGAGCCACTGTGTGGCCGAATACGTTTCCTCAATAAAGATACCCAACGAGTTGCACTGTGTCTAATTTATCAACATTTCGGTTCTCTGACCATTCAATCATCAAGCACTGGTTGTCAGGTCCTGATCCACCATGGCGCCTGGTCACAGACGGGCGTTGACCCCGAAACCTTTTCCGGTGTATATATAATTATAAATATATATAATATATATATATATATATATATATATTATATATATAAGAAAAAGAAGATAAATATGTATACAAGATATGATGTAGGGCGAAATGACAGTAGTTTGTGGGATTATGTGTTGGTAGATAAAAGGACGTTGAGTAGACTTTATCAGGAGGTACATGTTTAAGAGGAGCCACAGATATATCAGATCACTTTCTAGTGGTAGCTTACATGAGAGTAAAGGTAGATGGATACAAGAGATAGAAGTATCAGGGGAAGAGAGAGGTGAAGTTATATAAACTAAAAGAGGAGAGTTAGGGTAAGATTATAAACAGATATTGGAGGAATAGATGGCTAAGGAGAGCATAGGCCATGGGGTCGAAGAGGTATGGGGTAGGTTTAAAAATGTAGTGTTAGAATGTTTCAGCAGAAGTTTTGTGGTCACAGGAAAGTGGGTGCGGAGGGAGAGGTGCGGGTTGGGGAATGATGCATGTAAAGAGAGTAGAAAGTGGAATAGAAAAAGTTTAGCATATGAGAAGTTTTTTACCAAAGCTAGAAGTGATGGCA